CATCGCTCGAGATTTACGGTGTAGAATTTATTTCGGCAATTCTAGTATATATATGGATAGAATTCTTGTACGCCCATGTGCGTACTGCTACAATAAACACCCAAGGCCCATATCGAATCTAGGTCGATTTGACGGTCATGATTGTCTGAGAATGTTTGAATTTTAATTTTTTTTACAAATAGGAATAATCTGAAATTTGGAGCATGTGTACATCTTAGTTATGCGCACCTAATAAAAATATATAAAAATATAATTCGTGAAAAAAATATTGACTAAAATACCTATGAAACATTTCGAGGGTATTTTAGTTAATTTATTTCATGTAAAATATTTTTGTGATATTTTTCATAGATTCGCCTAATTTTTATGAACACACGCTCCAAATTTCAGTTCATTTTGATTTGTAGAAAAAAAAGTAAAAAAGAAAACACTTCTAAACATCCGTGATCGGCTCAGATTTGACATTTACTGTAGCGGTACACGAATCGGCGCATCTTCATGAGAGGGCACTTTTTCTCATTATAAAAGGGGGAGGGGTGGAGGTCTCCATATACACTACAACACACACAAGAATGGTGTGCGAGCTCCTCTTGAGAGATAGAGAAAAGGTGTGAGAGAGAGTACAATCTCCCTCCCATTTGAGATCTAAGTAGAGATCCGGCCTTGAGTGATAAAGAGTTGTGCATGAGAGTCGAGTTTGGACTGCTCATATCGCATCTGTTTGAGTGTTCGTGAGTTTTCACATTGCTCGGGATTTGCGTTGTGGAATTGATTTTGGCAACTCTAGTATTTGTCGAACGTACGTACATGAGTTGATTATTCCTCTCCGCGTTTGTTCACCAAAATTGTTGTTCGAGCACTCAGGTATGATACCCGATTTTCGGTTATTTTATTTTGCTTCTGTTTTGGCCGTTGGACTGTATTTTTTCCAACAATATATATATGGATAGTGTTCTTGTACTCCCATGTGTGTACAGCTACAGTAAACACCCAACGACCCATATGGAATCTAGGTCGATCTGACGGCCACGGTTGTCCGAAAATGTTTGAATTTTAGTTTTTGCCTAAAACTCGAAATAATCAGAAATTTGGAGCATGTGTACATCTTAGTGATGCGCTCTTAATAAAAATATATAAAAAAATAATTTGTGAAAAAATTATTGACCAAAATACCTATGAAACATTTCGAGGGTATTTTAGTTAATTTATTTCATGTAAAACATTTTTTTGATATTTTTTCGTAGATTCGCTTAATTTTTATGAACACATGCTCCAAATTTCAGATCATTCCGATTGATAGAAAAAAAAAATGAAAAATAAAACACTACCAAAAATCCGTGATCGTCAGATCGGCCCAGATTCGACGTTTACTGTAGCGGTACACGAATCGACATACCATAGCATCTTCCATATATATATAAATAAAAGATTAACGGGTGGGGATTGAATCATTTATTTTATTTTAAATTTTGGAAGACATATATACAAACTATTCCTGGAGTAATCGTTTCTAGTATGGCTCTATTCTGACAGCTGGGAACTTAGCGACTTCTCCAAATGTTTCACAAGTTTTTTTTTGGGTTTTGAGCCCAATCCATCCTTGAATGGTCATGGCCCATCTACTTTTTTTTTTTTATGTCTTGTCATTATGACTTTGTTTCGAATGCCAGTTAATTAGGTTGCTATTTATTGATTTTATGCAAGATGGGAACTACATTACTCATGCTTGTCTCCTTCAGGTAATGATTAACATACTGGTCTGTATCTGATCATAAACCTTCTTATTCTTTTTAATAATTTTTGTAATATTTGTTTTATCAAATTTTTATTTTCTGCTCTCTTTTCGCTTATTTATATGTGATTTTATTTAGCTAGTCACACTCGGGAGGTTGTCACTTGGTGTGATGGTAACAGACTCGGGTAGCCAACATAATCGCATGGGTTCAGACTCTTGAAAGCAGCCACCTTGTGCATAAGTCAAAGACTAGGAACATTTCCAAGCCACCCCTCCCAAGATCCTGCTTAGACGGGACTAGCACCAGATTACGACACTCAATGTAGATAGATTAGATACGGCATTTGCATTTTATTTCATTGTTTATAAATATTTATTTTTGTGGGTCTTCATTGTTCGATTATTCTTGGATGTTCTCAGAACATTTTGAATGACTTTGGTTGTTGGATTTTTGGTACATTTTGTTATCTAATAATGCTTGTTTCGATTTTAGTTCTGGTTCCACAAATATTCAAGATAAAATATCAACTCCTAAATCCCGGCTTTGGTTCCACAAATTTTGAACAACGATATGTATTTTTGTATAAAATTATCGTTTCCTTTTTGTCCATAAATCCAGAAAAAGGGCTAATGGGCTTCATGTTTCTAGGCTTTAGATTACTTTCTTTCCATTGAACTTTTTCCTTTGGCTGATTTTTCTAATCCGGATCCAGATCTGAATCTTATATATAATTTTAGATTTTGATAGGATATAAATCTTTAAGATCCGATCGGATCCGGATCCAGATCCAGATCTGAGAGATCTGGACCCGATCCGAAATCACCCCTATTGGAAATGAATAGATGTTTTGGAAATCA